GACGAAGGAAGTAGAACCATAGCCTATGAGCAACCAAAAGAAGAACGCCAAACAGAATTCTCCAAAGTCCAGACCAAGATAGACTTTGCGAAACCAACCAAAAGCATCAGAACACTTAACCCTATAATCAATTTGAAAATTAGAGCCACAATCATCACAACTTAATCACCAAACTTCAAAACTGATAAAGGAAATTGATGATCATCCCTGCAAAACCCTAATACCCAAATCTGCAAATCAATCCTACAAACCACAAAGCAAGAATTGCAAGATTGAGTAACAGGGTTTTTTTAATGGATAAGTCATCTTCCAAATCCAGTAGTCAATCCTGTAATTTGAGGAAGATGCAGATTGCCCAAACCCAAGCTTTAATATTTCAGGACTTAGATCTCCAAAGGTGAGGTATCCATCGACTACAGGAGGCAAGGCAACCCGCTTTGGGTAAAATTGAAAGAAATAGAAACTACGTACGAACGGTCTCAATGGATGATTCTGGATGAGAAGATTGATCGAAGGTTCAGAGCTATAGATTGAAAATTGAAAACAAAAAAGCCGATGTTCAGAGAAAGGAAGATAAGGCGAAAAACAGAAATGATTTGGCAGAGAAGAGGTAGGCTGAGGTGAGCCCAGCCAGGCGCACCACCGAGGATGCGGAAAACGACTCTCAACCCTGCAGAGCGTCGGAATCTTCTGGAGAAGGGAGGAAATGAGGGAGGAGAGGAGAACGGAGAACGGAGGATAAAAGAGAAGAAGAAAGTGCAGAGAAAAGGAGAGGAATAAATACAAATGAAAAAAATCAAGTAAATGATCTGATTTTCCATGTTCAAGTAGAAAAACACAACTGATTTAAAGTGAAGTGGCTAGTTACCTCAGAAACTGGTTGCCAGGCATTGTGAACTGTGGAGAATGAATAAAAAACTTCGTTAAAACTCAGGTATAGAGGAAAGATATCAAAAAATGTTTGGATTCTGCCTGCAACGAGAAACTGTATATATACACAGTTGTAAGTAAAAAAGACGATAGTTTTGAAAAAAAAACAAATGAAAAAGAAAAGACAAAAATTTTGAAAAAAAACAAATGAAAAAGACTAAATCTTAATTTGATAGTGTTGTTTATAGTATTTTTAATAATTTTTTTTTATAATTTATATATTTGATGAATTATGTATTCATTACTAGAAAATGCAGTATAATCGATAGAAAATATTGTTGATTATACAAGTATTTCTGTCGATTATATCTTAATCGACAGACATAATCGACAATAATTTTTGACGTAAAAATAACATTTGAAAATGACTATAATCGACAGAAATTTTTTCTATCGAATATAATTATATAATCGATAGCCATTAGTTGTCAAATATAGGTATAATCGACAGCTAATGGCTGTCGAATATATTGGGTAAAAAAATTAAAAAGAATATAAAATTTATTAAAATCTAGAATTATATTTATAATTTTTTTGTTAATTAAATTATATAAAAAAATAATAAAACGAAATTCAACACAATTATCAAACCCCCCCAACAATATATTTATGAAATAATTTTAAGAGTAATATAATATAAGAAATAGTAGATAAACATAAATAAAACTAAAATAAGAATTCTAACCTTAATTAGTTTTTGATCAATATCCTGTCAAAAATAAGAAAAAAAAGTGCATTGGTGCACATTATAACTTTATTAAAAGAAAAGAAAATAAAAAGTATAATCAAATTAAAGAAAAAAACCTCATAATTATTGTATTAAAATCTGCACACAAAAAAGGAACTATTAGTATATAAAATAATAAAAATTCTTAATTTAAACTAAATTGAAACAATTGGATGATGCATAAAAAAAAAAAAAAAGCTTTGACCAAGAAGGATGAAGAGAAAAAGATGATGGACTGTCAACAAAAGAAGATAATGGAATAAGTATAAAGGAAAACTAAAATAAAATTAGAGCTATTTACAAAAATACAAACGGGAGAGTATAAAAGATGAAAGAAAAAGGAAAAATAAAAGGAGAAAAAGGAGAGAAAAACTGGGACGTTTTGCTTGTGAGAAAGAAGGAGAAAGGAGGAGAAAGGAGGAGATAACCAGAGATGAAAGAAAAAGATGACAATGGGATATTCTGATTTTGAAACCCTTAAATAATAAAAATATATTAAATAGAAATTCTGTGGATTATATTGAAATAAGATTGTCGAATATATTTCAAATTAAATTAGCAAGGAAATTTAATTTTTTTGGGGTGAATGGGTGGGTTTCAAGTATAGTCGACAGTCATCGTGGCTGTCGATTATACTTGCTATAATCGACAGAAATGACTGTCGATTATAGCTGGTATATTCGACAGTCATTGTGGCTGTCGATTATATTTTGATTTTTTTAATTTTTTTTAATCTTTGTATTTTTAATTTTTATATTTAAATTGATATACTATTTTTTGAACAAATGATCAGTTTGATTTCTCTAATTCTCTCTTTTTTGTTTTCTTATTTTTTTTTTTGGTTTTTTTTTTTAGTTTCTTTTTATTGATTTTCTTGTAAAATTTTTTGTTTTAAGGCTAGTAAGAATAAATCTTTTTGAGGTTATAATTGGTTATTGAAATTATATTGAAATAAGGTTATCAAATATATTTCAAATTAAATTAGCCAAGGGATTTAATTTTTTTGGATGAATGGTTTCGAGCATATATAATAAACATTATCAAATGTAAGATTATTTTTAATTAATATTTTATATATTTTACGTATATATAATGATAAGTTAATTATAAATAT